TAGTTTAAAAATTGGCAAAACTGTAAAACCATACCACTCAGTGATTTTTTTTTTTAAAGGAAAGTAGTTTTTAAAATAAAATGTTTTTTCTATTAACATGTAATAGGTTTGCTGTTACTATCTTTAAATGAGTTGATGTTTTAAAAATTCCTCAGCTAGTATTCCTAAGATACTACATACCCATCGTTACAGCCCCGGTAAACTAAAGGGGTCCTGAGACCAGACAGTTGAGAAGGATGGTGTGTTTCCTGTGAACTGCCCAACATTCTGTTTGTGCTAGGAAGGGCCCAGTAAGTAATTAATGTCTGTTAATCTGCATTCTAAGTTCCAACTTCTTTGTTGTTACAGTGGCTCACTTTAGGCCTCTTTTGATCCCCAAGGGCCCCCCTACCCCCAGTGTATATGGGCATCTGGAATTTTAATTTAATTAATTATTTTTTTTAGGTTTATTTTTGGATTTTTAATTTTAGTGTCTCTTGGTATCTCTTTCTTCATTCACATTGCCATCAACCTAGTCAGAGCTCAGATCACCTTATTCCTGAATTACTTCAATGCTCCAGTTTTTCCTCATACATTTTTCAAACTTGAGTGTTAAGTGGGATCCGAGGGTTGCCTTGACCTTAATTTTCTTTATATGTTCCTTGAGAATGTATAGATAAAATCAAAGCAGAGTTACAAATGAAATATACTAGTCATATCAGCAACACGTTTAATGATGCTGTTTGGTTAAAACTGAATAACCAACAGTAGAGCTTATAACAATGCCATAGCCTTGGGACCAGTTTTATAATGTTTCTTTAGTTTGGCTTACAAATACTAACACAGATAATGGCTATTTGCATAAACAGATTTTATAAAATGGCTTGTTAACTTCCAGAATAATCAGACCGCATAGTTAACCTGAACAGCGGCACCTAGCGATCCTTGAATACTAGTTTTAATGCCAGTTGATTATCCTGTCAAGCTGTGTTGATCACTAGAGCATTGTGGAGTGGTGAGATCTATATTGGATATATACTTAATCCAATTATTTTGGAATCTTTACTGGGAAATATTGTGCTGTGTGTTTTACTTCTGGGTTTGCTGGTTGGTGGGGGTCTCGGTATCCCATTGGCTTTGTAACACAGGGAGGGTGCTAAGTGGTCCAGCCCAGGTTCCTTTGTTTGCGAGCTTATCATACCTGCTTTACCATACTTACCGGTTTGGTTTCTTTTATAGCACTCAACATTGTCTGCCACACTAAAACATTTTCCTTTTTTTTTTTTTGGTCATTTCCATCCAAGTAGATTGTAAGTTTTATGGGATTACAGAATTTTGTCTCTTTTATTTACTGCTGAGCTTTCAGTTTTTATAAATAATACCTGGTATGTGTTGAATGAGTAAATGTATATCATACAACACTTCTCTATTCAAACTCTAAACTCAAATGCTCTTTTTCTGTGTCAGGTGCTTAATGCTGTGTTCCCCGCTGGGGCAGAGAGACGATTCTCTGACCATCTTAAGCACAGCTAAAGTGGACTTGAGTTGTATGGAATCCTTTTGTTTCGGCTGATCAGTGCATGTGTAATCGGGGCACGATTACTTTCGTTGGTTCAGATTCTGTAATTTGCTTAGTGCAGCCTAAATGTGCATTATCTCTTTAAGTAGACACCATCTTAAGGCATTTATGGAGGGTTTTTTCCTTTTAAATTGTTAATCTGAGTTTTAAAATAGTACAATTGTACGTGTGAAATTTTCCCCTCAATTTTGTTTTAAGGTTTGTAAAAGTACCAGCTGCCTTAATTACTGCCTGTTCTTTTTAATTTTTTTTTCTTAAGATTTATTTATTTATTTCTTTTAGAGAGAGTGAGCTCACGTGCTGTGGTGGGGAGGGCAGGGGGGGAGAGTCTTAAGCAGATTCTGGGCTTGAGCCTGGAGCCTGACCTGGGGCTGGATCTTCCACCCTGAGGAGTGGAAACCAAGAGCTGCTTAACTGACTGAGCCACCTAGGTGTCCCTTGACTTGATGTTTTTCCAGAGTTCTAATCATTGGTGCATTTTTTTGTCCCCCTCCCTTAACATTTTATATCACATTTGAACATTTTTTATGTGTTTTTGTTCTGTTTATCATTTTTTTTCTGTTTATCATTTTTAAAAGTGGGTGTCATTTATTTTTAAAATTTATGTATTTAAAATTATTTAAGGTAAAGGTTTTTTTTTTTTTTTTTTTTAGATTTCTGTTTTTAAGTAATCTCTACACCCAGCTTGGGGCTCAAACTTAAAACCCTGAGATTGAGAGTCACATGCTGTATCAGCTGAGCCAACCAGGTGCCCCAAAAGTGGAGGGCATTTTAAAAGTGAATGTTTTTACATTGGGTGGTTGTATAACTTACTTGTCTCTCTTTTCTTTTTAAACTCTATTTTGGAATAAATTTAGATTTCTGGAACCTTGGTACATTTTTAAAAATGTAGAAACCGACACCAGTATGTTACTGTTAATTAACCTAGAGACTTTATTTGGATTTTACCAGTTTTGTGTCCTGGGATCCAGGCCAGGGCGCCACGCAGCACTTAGTTATCTCCTCAGGCCTTCAGACTTCGATGGTTCCTTAAACTCCTCTTGTTTTCATGACCTCATGATAGTTTTGAGGACTATTATCAGGTATTTTGTAGAAGTGTCCTTCGGTATGGGTTTGTCTGATGTGTTTGTGTGCTAAGACTGAGGTGTGGGTTCTGAGGTTTTGGGTGAAGAAGGCCACAAAGGTGAAATGTCCCTCTTCCCTCACGTTGAACGGCACACGACGGCAATGTGGCTTGTCCCTCATCTTTTATCCATCATTGTTTGGTGGGTTGTGGTGCCTTCTGGGCTTCTCTGCGGTGATGTTACTGTTTCCCATGCCAGGCTCTCTGCCATGGAAGTGAGTTACTGAGTCCAGGCCCTGCTCAGGGGGAAGGGACCTGAGGTCAGCCTCCCAGGTTAGAGAGGTATACACATGTCGTTATTTGGAATTCCCTGTAAGGAGGACTGCCCCTCTTCTCCCGTTTACTTATTAATCACTTATTTATTTCATGGACTCCTGGATACTTGTTCATTCGGTTGTAGTACAATACCATTGTGATTTATTTTGCTCTTCAGCTTTTTGCAGCCTTGGGTGAGCTAGAACGTAGCCTGGCCTCAGAATCCGTGTAGACCTAACACTGGAGTGACGGCAGGAGGTGAAATCTTGTCTGGAGTCCTTAGTGCAGCAGTACGGCTGTGCTGCGGGGACCCCTCACTCTTGGTCTTCCTTGCGAGGTGCATTGCCTTTATTTCCCCTTAGGCATAAGATCTGCTTCTCAGATAATTGATTTTTACCTCTTACCAAGGGTAGTATCTATATGTCTAAATTCTCTTTATATGTTTTTCCCTTACCTACAAAGATTAATTACTGTTAATTTATTTTTTAGTTTATTAAAGCAGTGGGTTTTAACTTAAGAAATAAATGAGGGGCACCTGGGTGGCTCAGTTGGTTAAGAGGCTGGCTCTTGATTTTTGGCTCTGGTTGTGGTCTCAGGGTCCTGGGATTAAGCCCTGCCCTGGGCTTCGAGATCAGTGCTCAGTAGTGAGTCTGCTTGAGGGTACTTTCTTTCCCTCTGCCCTTTCTTCCTGCTTGTGTGCGCTTGTTCTCTCTCTCTCTCTCTCTCTCTCTCTCTCTCTCTCTCTCTCTCTCAAATCTTAAAAAAAAAAAAAAAGAAACTGGGGTCCTTGGCTGCCTCAGTCAGTAGAGTATGAGGTTTGATATCGGGGTTATGAGTTCTAGCCCCATGTTGGGCACAGAGCTCAACCTAAAAAAATAAATTGTTAAATGAGACGAGCAGCTGCCCTCAAAGAATCTTAAACATAAGCACTGCTGCAGACTGGCAATTTTTCAAAGTTGGCAATTTAATGGCTCACTGTGAAGTAAAAAAGACGTTTTAGTTATGGATGGACATCAAGAATATTGCAATCGTATTACTTAAATTTTGTTAGGTTTGGATTTGACCTTATAGAGTCTGGTAATCAGTAAAGAGTCAGAGTTAATGCTATTAATTTAGTTAGGGAGGATGAGTAGTACATGTAGTTTATTACTTAGTTTTCTTAAGACAAGTAGAAAACAGAACCCTGCAAGACTAAATAGGCACTAGCACGTGCCTTGAGCCATCATTTAGGAATGAAGAACCTTTAAAGAAAGGCATCAAGGGAACTGAAAATGCCTAGGGAATTTATTTTTAATTCTTCATCATTGGTCACTGAGTAAGGAGGGGCAGGGGTACCAACCCAAGGAAAGGCCCCTCACAAGTTGGACCTAAGAGAGCGGAATGCTGGTTCTTTGGGCTTTGTGTCCTGGTCCCCTGAGGGGTGGAGATGTGTCTCCTGGCACATCACAGGGGCCGTAGAAACCTGAGAGGATGGAGGAAGCTCCTTACCAGGTGGGCAGCACTGCTGTAATTGGTCTCTCTGGTGATGTCCTTGATGTGACGGTGAGGAAATGGTCACCAGAACACATTTTCTGTTAATTCAGGCATTATTGTATGTGTAGTCTCAATACCAAGAATGTATCTCAGACGGCTTTATATTTCATGTGGCAAGAAAACCTTATCCAGACCGGTTTAAGAGAAAAAAAAAGCTTTTCTTAGCTTATGTAACTGAATGTTCTAGAGTTGGGTTTGGCAAAGCTTGCCCGGTTCAGGGCTCGCCCAGTGAGGTGATTAGAGTCCATTTCTTGGCTTTGGGTGTTTTTTCTTTTTTGTCATTGACTTTTTTTTGCAGACTCTTCTCTCAGGCTTGCGGAGAGAGAGCATGAGATTGGCTTCCAGTGATTGTTGGGGCATTGTTTATCCAGGTTCGAATCTAAGTGGAAAAGAGTGCGCATTCTTGTCCTGACTTAGCAGGGAGCCTCCTGAAATCTTCCCTGTGACCAGACCAGTCTGATCATTTATCTAGTGTGTACTGGTGCCTGTCAGCAGGGAGCGGTGTGCCCTGGCACCCTGTGGATGGTAGTCCTCAGAGAAGGGTTGGTGAGCTGATGCGGGTGGCACAGACACCTTGTCTGCTCTGGTGGGACAGAGCGGGGTTACAAGGGCAATGGAGTTCAGGATATTAGGATAAAGAGACTGTGGACTATGTATTTTTCCTTACTTTCCTTATGTAACCTGTATCTGTGTTATTTTGTAAGGTTCTGCTGCATTGTACGAAGGTTTTGATGGTCTCCTGCCATAATTTGCTTTGTCTTTTGAATTAAAGAATACCTGTTGTTTTGGTTTTACTGTATATGGATAGAGTCTTGTTTTAATGATTAGAGTTGTACTGTTTTGAGTAAGAGAAGTCCTTTTCATATCCTGGATAAAAATCCCCTTAGTGCCATTTCACCTATGAAACTAACAAATCTTTTGAATGAGAAATGTAAAAATTGGGTGTATTCACAAATCCTCATCCATTCAGTGGCTCGTTATTCTAATAGAGGCTTTTTTCTGCCAACATGTAGATACTTGGAACTGGATTCTAATACTGGGCAGTGGTATGGTGGAAATCAGAAGACCCGATTCGAGGCTGCCATTCGTGGGAAGGGTGCGGGGCTGGCTGACATTTGGAGGCTTACTGCTTGCTCAGCACTAGGTGAGGCAGTGTGCTTGGTGTTTGTAACCAACTTGGAGGTACTGGTGTTATCCCTATAGTTTGGAAAAGATCCTTAAGGTAATATCAGTTTCCTTAATAAGAAGAAATCCCAAACGCTCCAAGTTTTATACTCAGGATATCTTCTCCAGGGCTTCTGGACCATGGGGTCTGAGTCATCCCTGAGACTCCTCTTCCTTGGGGGTTTTGTGGTAGTGGGGTGCATTTCCATGCCCACTCACGGGAGGCCCCACCCTTCCTTTTCATACTTCGTGGCATACCTAGACTTCGTGAACAGTTCACCATCAATGTTCGTTAGGAGACGTGTTCTGTTTTTGTTTTAGAATGTATTTGCCAGGCACACAGCAGGGCTCTGAGATCTTATAAATGAGTAAGAATGGTTCTTGCTCCTGAAGAACTTACAGTGGGGATGAATTGGAATGAAAAATATGAAAACATGATTTTTTTTTTTGAAAACATGATTTTAATATAGTATAAATGCTGTGAAAGTGGGAGCGGGTTTATTTTATGTAAACCAGTCTTCTAAATGGTGACTTAAATTTTATTACTTTTTAGTAGACCAGCCTGTTTATCCCTATGTATTCAAAGAACGGTCCACACATTTTTAGATCTATTTCTTAGGTTGCTTTTTTTTTTTTTTTAAAGATTTTATTATTTATTCATGAGAGACAGGCAGAGACACAGACAGAGGGAGAATCAGCCTCCCTGTGGGGAGCCCCGATGTGGGACTCAATCCCAGGACCCCGGGATTACGCCCTGAGCCGAAGGCAGTTGTTCAACCACTGAACCACCAAGGTGCCCCTATTTCTTAGGTTGTTCAGAGGTTATGATCCTTATATTTGAATCCATAGGTGAGTTACTGTGATTTTTCTTATTTCATCTCTATTGTGCATATTGACCAGATAATCCTATAGTTTCACAGCTTCACTTTTATACTTCTGTATCTGGAAGAGCTGTGTGAAACGTAGAAACGTAGAAATTTTTCCGTACACGCTGTCTTACAGAGATGCTGGTTCTAGAATAATTTGAAAAGTGGTGTTGTTGACTTGCAGCTTGTACAGTTACACCTTTGGTCAGAGAGACTATTTTGTTGTGACATAACTGACCAGAGACGTTGTTGCTCATGGTGGGAGTGCCATGGAAGGCACTCAGAATAGCTGGCAAGGCGAGTTCTAGTGTGCAGACATGGGATGCACACCTCTTCACCAAGCACATAAGATGCGCATCTTACAGAGATGAGCCAGGGTCACATCCGTCTTGCCCCACAGTGGGAAGGAAGCCCCACATGCCTGCTCCAGGGTTCGGCAGGTGTGGGCGGGGCGCAGGGGTGCTGCCGCCAGGGCCCAGGAATTTGTCAGGGCAGTAGATGCACCAGTTATGATTAGTCTGTGAGCTAATGAAGCAAGATAATCCCTTTTTATCTGATGGTTCTCCCTGCTAGTTCCTAGGCCTTTGAAGCTCTGAAAAGAATTTGCATAGAATTACTTGAGCTCCTCTGTTAAGTAGCAGGTAAGAAAGCAAAGGAATGGCACGGAGGTTTCTTAAATACCCCCCCTCCCAGGTGTCTTTTTGGCCTCCCTCACCATCTTCTGTCTTCCTCACTTTGTACTTTGCCTCAGAGATGGGGTCATCTTCCTCCGTCCAGTCTTTTCAGGTCACACTTAGAACCTTTTCAGTTATATCTCTGTGGCCTCATCCGACCGACTTGGCTCAAGTTCTGAAATCTCTTCATTCTTCTCATTCCCTCAGTGGGGTCTCCAGCTGGCTAGGTGTCCCTCTCTGTTAGTGGGGTCTGCCAGCTGGACCTCTTGGCCTTCAGAGCCCCATCTCCAGCCGTCCTCCTGCTCATACCTTAGAGTCAGAGTCTCTTCCGATCTTTCTTGGCCTTTTGAAATCCAGCTCAACTTCTAAGGTTCTGTTAACACCTTTCCTGCCACTCCCCACCCCCGGAATTTTTCCTGTATATCTCCTATTGTATTTTCTTGTTTTCAGCCTTGTTAGGTGGCATCTAAGCTCCTTCAGGGCAAGTTCTGTGTCACTGATCTTTGTATGTTCAGGGCCTGGTTCCTAGTACTCGATGGTTATCCAGAGCTTATCTTGCCCCTCTTTCAGCCAAAGTAGTCCACGAGGCTGCTTTCCTTGTCTCTGGTGGGAAGCTATCCTGACAGGAAGTTACCCACTGACCTCTGGGCTGCCGTCCTCTTAATCTTGTCTTTTTAGGTGGTTTCTCTGTGCCCAAGGGTTTTATGTGGACAGGTAAATGAGGCTCTACTCTGTTACCAGGTATTCAAGCCAGAACATCATCCACTCCATTTTTTTTTTTTTAAGATTTTATTTATTTATTAGAGCACAAAAAGAGGGAGCAACAGGCAGAGGCAGAAGGAAAGGGAGAAAAGCCGGCTCTTTGCTGAGCAGGGAGCCTGAGATCATGACCCGAGCTGAAGGCAGATGCTTAACCCACTGAGCCACCCAGATGCCCCTGTCCACTCATATATAAGCCATCACCAAGTTTTCTGTTAAGTGACTCTTGAATTCCTTTGCTTTACTTTTATCACCACTGTGGTGGGGGAAGCTACCCTCCTCTCTTGTGCAAATGCTGTGCTGCAGTCCTAACCTCCTCTATTGGTCACCTGCTCTTTCTAGAATGTCAGTCTCCCCCTTCCCTTTTATTTAAAACATTCTGGCTTTCCTTTGCTCTTAGATAAATTTACAGCAAACATCCTTAATGCAGCCCTTTGTACTTTCTGGCAGAGAGAATGTCCTAATTTTTTAGGATACAAGTATGATTTTTATACTTTGAGAGGTGAATGTTCTAGAAGGGGACACTTGTTTAGACTTAAAATGGGGACTCTGTACTTAGGCATCTGGGGAACTATAGGCTGTCCCCACATTTAAGCGTAATTGGTTACCTAGAGCCTGCAACTGAAGATAAGCCTGGAGAATTTACTTGGCATTTGCTGCATTTTTGGTTTGCTAGTGGAAAAACCCCTCGTGTGAGTAAAAGGGGCACAAGAGGCAAAAGTACAGACTTTTATCACAGTGTTTAAGGTGAGAAGCCTGGTAAAAAGTGTGTGCAGGGAGAATGCTTTAATTTGTACATTCGTTGTACGTTGTACTATGTATTTTTTACTTTTAGTGCTGTATGTAAATTTTACATTTTCAGACTTCTCTTTTTCAATCATGCTCTTCATTTATGCTAACTTGATGAAAAACTTAGAGTATGTGTCTACATGTGTGGATCTCAGGCTGAAAATGAGCATGTTATAGTATGCTTAATTTCTGTAATAGGATCACGTTTCTGTAAAGACGGCTGCTTTTTAGGAGTGGAAAACCTTTGTCAATAAAAATCTCTCTTAAAAGTTGTATTAAATAAAAACTCATATTTTGGATGAAATGTTTTAAGGATAAAACCCCACAGCTCGAATGAGCACCCTTGCAAATGTCATCAGTGTCATGTATTGTTTATTTTGTTGATTGTTAGTTTGCTGGGGATTAAAACACAAATGATCATATTCAGGCTGGTTAGATTAGTGATTTTAATATGAAACCATTGCTTTTAGAATAATCATGGGCCAGACTGGGAAGAAATCTGAGAAGGGACCTGTTTGTTGGCGCAAGCGTGTAAAATCAGAGTACATGCGGCTGCGGCAGCTCAAGAGGTTCAGGCGGGCTGACGAAGTTAAGGTACAGCTTTATCTTTTGTGAAGCACACCTACGGTTAAGGGTAGTGCCCCGCCCCGCCCCCCAAAGATAAGTTTCAATTTGCCAGGGTCCATTTTCAGCCAAGGTCATATTTATAGTAAGATACATGAAGGCTTGGAAGCCAAGGGCCTTGATCTGTCTTAATTAACATAAAGATTGTCCCAGGCACAGTAATGGGAATGGAAAGATTGAAATCTAATGGCCAGTCAATCTGCTTAGAAATCACTCTCTTTTTAGTGTATCTTTTGTATTACACGTGCAGATTTGGGACCCAAATATAAAGGAATGTGTTTCATGGTTTTATGTTTCTAAAGTCATTGTGATTTTGTTTTTATATGATGTTAACAAAGAAAGGATGCAATGATTTTCTGTTCCCTGCCCACTCTTAGTAAAATAATAGGTGTGGTGCTTCTATGTTATTCGAATGTGGGAAGCCACAGTTTAGTGTAAAATCTGTATGTGTTTGAAGGAACGCTCCTGATATTTTTGAGAAATCACTAGATGTTAACGTGCATTAGAGATACTACACATTTTCTAACGATGAACAATTTCTCTTCTCCTCTCCTTCATTTTTTTTAAAGAGTATGTTTAGTTCCAATCGTCAGAAAATTTTGGAAAGAACGGAAATCTTAAACCAAGAATGGAAACAGCGAAGGATACAGCCTGTGCACATCCTGACTTCTGTGAGCTCATTGCGCGGGACCAGGGAGGTTGGTTAACTCACGCACTGTAGTAATTATCGGTGCATTCTGGTGTTTGCTCTTGCAATGTTGGTTGGTTATTGATAGGAAGTCATTCACCTCAGGGTGTCCATCTTTTTATTGCTCTTTTAGTGGCCGCCTCAGGCCACTACTAGCTATAAGAGAGCTGTAGTGTTTAGCATATATTTTACTGTTACCAGGTAGGTTCATAGATTTTTGAGGATTGTTGGTTAAAAAAAACTTTTAACTTAAATACTCTTTAATGGCCTCATCAGATCACTGTTTAGAGCAAGGCTTTCTGACTCATAGTTGTCTTTTTTTCGGTCCCTTATGAATTAGCCATGCTATAAGAAATATTTCCTTTTCATTCATATTCATAGACTAAGAAAGTTATTTATTATTTGAACATTTTGTTCAAATTCTGCAGCTCTCTAAGAATTTCGAAATTCACTATTGAGATCAGAAGTCCTTTTTTATAGTATTTTTTAAAAGAAAGATCTTTGGAATAGGTCTTAATCCTATTTCGAAAAGAAGGCCGTAAATGTATGGCAGATTTTATAATTAAATGGCACATAAAACACAGTGGCAGGAAAATGAAAAGGTGGCAGAAGCCTGGGGCACCTGGATGGCTCAGTCGGTTAAGCGGCCGACTCTTGATCTCAGCTCAGGTCTTGATCTCAGGGTTATGAGTTCAAGCCCCGTGTTGGGCTCCACGCTGAGCACGGAGCCCGTTTTAAAAAAAAAAGAAAATGGCAAAAGCTGAAAAACAGCATAGGACGGATCAGTAGGGTTTGGGTAAAGCACTGTGGTATAAGTACCTGTCGTATACAGGAAAACATGGTATAGGAGGGGGAATGTTACTGGAATCGGTGCCTAAACAAGAAGGAGGAAGAAAGTTATTTGGGATTTAAGTTAAACTGCACAGTGGATGGTTGTTTCTCTGTCTAAACGGAGGAAACACCTAGACAGTGGGATCTATGCTAAAATAATGTTTTCAGTGATGATATGATACTTATAAAAAATTGTAATACGAAGTAATTTGATAGTGCATGAGACACCCTGGCCTCGGAGACTTGTCAGTACTGTCACAGTAGCATGGTCCTAGTGATGATCGTGATCATGCTGTGATGGTCTTGGCGACCCATGACTTGGAATGGTTCTTAGTCATTTATTCATTTTGTCAGGTAACAGCTCTTTAAAGCTTGGGCTTGCAGTTGTATAAATATATATCCTGTGCTGCTAACACTTTCCACACCATCTGGGACAGGTCAGGGACTACATATTAGAGGTAAATGACTTTGTATTAATATACTAAGGGTGGAAGGGATTTGATTCTACACTAGTCAGAAAGTTCTCAAAGGCAGAAAGGATGGGGCTTCTCAGTAGTTCTTTCAAAAGTTTTATCTGTGGTGACCATTTAGAAATTTTGAGGGTAAAGGAGAAGGAAACTTTTCTTCTCATTGGAAGAATAAATCTTATTCTAAAGTAAAATTTGGAGAAATGGGTAGACACACATGGAATACTTGAGTTTTGCCACCCATTACGACTCAGAATGCTACCGAAAGCCCATCTGACACTTATAAGTAAAAGTTAACAGCAGTAATGATTTCCGGCAGGTGGTAGGTACTGTGCACACACACATGAACCTTCTTTAATCTTTGTGACAGTTGTATTAGGCCCTTTTCTCCCTGGACAAGGACACTGGGCTTCGGAATACTAGTCAGCTTGCTCCAGTGATCTGATGCGGGCCCAGAAGAGCACCGCTTTGCTCAGACACCTTAGGAAATGAGTAAAGGTCATGGTTGATATACAGCTTGAATTGTTCGTAATATAATTGCAAGTACAATTAATTCAAATTAATATTGACTAATTGAATTTTGCTTTTCGTTTTGTCAAATGGAGAGAAATCATTGAATGTAAAGATCTCTAACTTTGTAATGGGAGTTTATGTGAGAAGTTGTAAGAAGAAATGAGAATTGTAATAAAACAAAATTGTTTTCTAAACTTAGTCCCCCATGCAGGTTGAGAAAAACCATTTTCACAAAATAGGAGGGGAAGGAGGGAATTCATCCCTTGCCTCAGGAACTCAGGTGACCTGGTCAAGGCTGTTAGTTTTTGAGCTACTCTTGGTAGCTGATTCTGCTCAAGTGATTCATCTTTTACTTCCCAACCTCCAAGCACCTTTAAAACCATCATCACTGACTTTAGGAAGCTGCACGTTTATACAGTTTGTGATAAGCTTTTTGGTATTCTCATAATAAAAATAATAAAATTTTAAGACTGAGAAGGACTTTAATGATATCTGTCTAATCTCCTTACTTTGTAGATGAGACTGTATCCCTGTTTATTTTTCTGCAGTTTGAGCATTCCCAGCTGTATGTCAATTTCTTTTATATGCTTTAAAAGTTGGAGCCTGAAGTAGGTCAGAAGCAGGAGGATAAATAGAAGTTAGTGTGTTTTGCAAAGACTTTCCTAGTAGTAGGCTTGGCAGGAGTTCAGACTGCAGTGTCGGTCCAAACACCTAAAGTCCGTGGCTTTCAACATTGGGAAGTGCTGTTATAACATTGTTTTAATTAACTGCTTATTTTTATAAGCCGATCCTTTGTAAGTGCTGTCTTTGTTTAAATCCTTTGCGGCCTGAGGACCGTTCAACGACAGTTTTCATTTTTTCACTCAGTTCTACTTTAATCCCTTCTGTGCGTTTAAAGTAGATGTGCTCAGTTTTAAAATGACTGGTTTTTATCTAGGTTATTTTAGTGAAGAACGGCTGGCAAAGGTCACCCTCTGATCTAACGAAGCGGCCGCCGTAGATGCTGATTCAGATCTAGTGAGCCCTGCAGTTGAACTCAGAGACCCTGTCTTCACTGTAGTGTTTTCTTAACGTATGTTTTGAAGATAACTTGTGGGTGCTTATTTTTTGGTGTTGAGGTTACAGAACCTAAAAAGCGGTGTTGCTTATGCAATTTTTATATTATGTGTCAATATTTTTCTTTATAAGCTACTCCTGATCCTGACTTCTTGTAGGCAGTGACGGTATATTTTACATTTATTTCCTTTGCTCTTCAGTTAATCTCTTTAAGGAACATTCACCTTAAAAACGTCACCAAGTGATAAACACAGACCAAGGGATGCACACCTTATTGATACGGTTTGTGGTTGTTTGTAAAAACCATGGGTCTAGGTGACTTTCATTACTTTGTGTTATCGGTAAAACACTATATCTTCTGTAAGTCTTCACGTCGATAGTCCTGTTCTTCAATGTGTGTGTTTCTCTGGTTTTAATGAAGAGCCTGGTTTATGAGTTACTCTTGGAGTTCTTACGGGTGCATTGCTTTTTGTATATTTGTCCATTTCTTGATAAAAACCACAAGGTGCTTTCCTTCATTGATTCTTCCTATCAAGATTTTTATTACCTGTGTGTATTAGGACTGAAAGAGAGGCTTGCTCAAATCATGTCTGTTTTTCTGGGCAAGTGGTGTGATTCGTATAGTAATTTAAAAATATCCTGCCAATCTGCATTTCTAGATTCCCAGGAGAATTTAATGTTCTTGTAGGAATTTTATGTCTTGTCTACTAATGAAAATAGAATTTTTAGTGTATATTTAAACATGCAGGTTCTTCAGGATGTCTAACTCAGCAGCATCTTTAGAAAGCCATCATAGTCCTCACATTTAAGAAGAATTAAAACATTTTAATACATACAGGTTTGATCCTAGTAATGATTGAAAGAATTGTGAATTCATCATCTGTCATTTGATATTTGCAAATTTTTTTGGGGGGGGTGGTAGTGGTGAAGAGGCTTCTATGAAAATAACAATGTAGTCAGTTTATAAGTTTGCAGTTTGGACTTATTTTTATTGAAGGAGAAGGATAACATTGTCTCATTTACACTTAAGCGCTTGCATTATTTATGGACTCCTATAATGCAGTTTCCTCAGTTAATTGTAAATAGAATTTTTTGTTACTATTTACAAAGAAAGAATGATATGCTAGTGCACCCAGTATGCTCTTAAATACCTCTCAACGTTCCATACAGTAGCATGCTCTCTTTCCTTTGTAAATTTCAGAACTGTAGAACCAGTAGGTCTAGATTCTCATGAGCCATTTGAGCAAATATGGTGGGGAGTGAGGTCATTTCTCTCATGTCTTAGAAATAAGCGGGTGGTTCTCAGTCTGAACACAGCCAGCCTTTCTCAGGGAACTAGTTTCCAAGTTGGCTCTCTGTAGTTCTTTGCTTCTTTTTAACCCTTTATTGGTATTTGTTTGGGGAGTGGAGTCCTTCCCCACCCGTGGAACTTTTCAAATCATTGCAGCCTTTGCTTCCTTTCTGGCTTTCTTTAGGCTGAAATAGATGGAACATTTCTTAAATGACCATAAAGATGGCTTTCCTTATTTTTTTTTTCTTTGAAAGGAAACTAATGTGTCCTATGCTTTTCCAAAACGTCGTTTTTAAAAAAGGTCACTTATGTTTGAGTTTTTATATCATTATCCTATTAATTATATAACCTCTATTTGACGTCTGAGTTTAGTTTTTGAACTTAATTCACTTTTCAAATGTAAGATACAGAATCTTTTCAAAAATGTCAAATGTTTACTTTGTACAATAAACCAGAAATTGCTTCCAGTTCACTGTTTTTCTCCTAGACCATTGTTTATATGGGTTGGTGTTTTACATATGCAGATAGTCAACTATTTGACTATGAGATCATTGATCAAGATCAAAGATCACTGATCTACAAAGATCAGGTCTTTTCCCAAAATGCAAAACCAAATTTTGACAGCTATTTTAAGAACAGATTGAACCAGAAGAAATGAAAGTCTAGCCTGCATTGTTAAAAGTGTTTATTGCTGTGAAGAAATGAAATGTTATTAGACCTAGAACTTCTAGGATAACATGGATTGACTTGATTAAATTCACTGCTTAGGATTCTGTTTTATCTTCTCTTAATTTTATGAAAGAATATTAGGGGGGAGTACCATTTTTGGGAGGGTTGGACAGATTTCATGAG